TGCCTAAGCCTGGTGGAGGACCCCTTGCTTCCGCCAGAGACCTACACTTCCTCTTGTTGCAGTACCCCCCAACCCCAACTGCTGAGGAGCACACACGTGTGCAGCTTCCAGGGGAGGTTTTCCCTCCTGGAAGCAGGCCTGCCCTGGCCATCCCACACAGCCTGGAGGAAGCAACTCAGCAAGGCCCTACAGTTCCTTCTGCTCCCCCTTAGGCTGTTCTTTGTACCTGGGGCCTCGTCCAGGGAGGACAACATATCTGAGAAGAATCCGGTTTGGCTCTGCTTTTTTCCAAGGCCCTCATCCCTCTTTGCCCCCTCTGGGGCATTCCTTACCAGATAGCAGTGGGCTCAGGCCTTTAGAGCAGAAAGCAGCCTTGGCAATTGGTGAGCTGTGCAAGGGAGGGGCCGTGGAAACCAGTGCTCTCTCAGGCTGTAGGCGTGCACATGAGTGGTACAACTTTTTGTAGGGGGCATGCCCTTTAACCTAGCCAATCCACTTCTGGGACGCCGTCCTGCAGAATACCCAAGTGCACAGAGCTGTCAGTACTAGGGTGTTCACTGCAACATTGTCCATAAAAGCAGCAAAAAGCAACTCAGCCTAAATGCCCACCATTAGAAAAAATGAATTAGGGAACGCCCATAAGATAGACTGTTGAGCAACTGTTAAATAGAACGTGACAGATCCATCCATATGCACTGGTATGGAAAGATGCCTGCCATCGCTTGTTAAATGAAAAAAGCAAGTTGCAGAACATTATGAATAGCATATCATTTTTTAAACTGGATCTGATGTGTGTATGAATACATACGTATATACATGTATCTTACACATGATTGGAAAAGCATAGACAAAAAGTCTAGAAGGATACTCACCGAACTGTTAATAATGGTTTACTTTTAGGGAATGATTTTGGGGGTAAGAGATTGAAATTGGAGCTATAACTTTTTATACTATTCTTTTTTGCTGTTTGCCTTTTTATATGTGTCTTACTTTTATAAATGAAAAAAGAGAGAGACTTAAGAAGGAAAAAGCCTCTATTGGCCTCGCCTAGTCATCTCATTTTACAGGTAGGGAAACCGAGGCACCCTCTCAGAGCAGTGCCTTATGTGAGATCATGGGCCAGCACTATGTTTGCCAAGATGATGCTATCCCTGTCCTTATATGGGGCAGGCATTCTACAGATGGAGCCAGCAGGGGAGGGTTTGTGCTGAGTGCAGCCTGGTGCCCATGGGTGTGGCAGAGCCGGTGAGCATGGGGCACTTCTTGCCTTTTCTTGGCCCCAGCTGGACACCTCCTTTCTTCCTGAGATTTCCTGGCTTCTTACCTCCAGAAGGCTAAGAACCAAGTGCTCACACACAGCGGAGTCCAACGGGCATCCAAATCTCCTGTGCTTGCTCTGGCCTTAGAACCTGGGTGACCTCTAGCAAATCACATAATTCTCTGAGAGCCTCGGTTTCCCCACCTGCATCCCAGAGATGTTGAGAGGCTCTGAAGGGATAAAGAGTGTGAAAGAACTTTGCAAACCATGCAGTGACATATATGAAAGACAGTTATGATGAATTGTTTTTATTTTTATTACCTGCAACCTGAACCAGTTCAGTTCTTAGACTCTTGGGACCAAGGGGATAAAGCAATAAATTTCCTTTTTGAAGGGGGTACGGAGGACAGGAGCTACGAGGGAGTTGCTATAGAGACTGCAAATTGCCTTCCGGGGCCTTGGGTCTTCTGGGGCCTGAAGAGCCTGGAGAACCTGTGGGGGCCAAAGCTGAGGAGAAGAGCTGGGCTAGGCTTTGGGGCCCAGAGAAATGCTTCTTGGCAAGGCCACTCTTTGACCTTCATACTCCACTCTGCCAGACACTTGATGTTGGGCTTTGTCTTAGTCATCTAGTGCTGCTATAACAGAAATACCACAAGTGGATGGCGTTAACAAAGAGAAGTTTATTCTCTCAGAGTCCAGTAGACTACAAATCCAAATTCAAGGCATCAGCTCCAGGGGAACGCTTTCTCTTCTGACTCTGGAGGAAGGTCTGTGTCATCAATCTTCCCTTGGTCTGGGAGCATTTCAGCTCAGGAACCTCAGGTCCAAAGGACATGCTCTGTTCCCGGCACTCGTTTCTTGGTGGTATGTGGTTCCCATGTGTCCCTGCTCGCTTCTCTCTTTTATATCTCGAAAGAGATTGGCTTAAGACACTATCCAATCTTGTATTCCTCATCACTATAACTGCCACTAATCCATTTTATTACATCATAGTGATAGAGTTTACAACACATAAGGAAATCACATCAGATTACAAAATGGTACACAATTATACAAAACTGGGAATCATGACCCAGCCAAGTTGACAAATTATTTTTGGGGGGCACAATTCAATCCATGACAGCTCTTGACCTCAGGAGACTGTCTCAGTCATCTGGTGCTACTCTAACAGGAATACCACAAGTGGATGGATTTAGCAAAGAGAAGTTTATTCTCTCACAGTCCAGTAGGCTACAAGTCCAAATTCAGGACTTCAGCTCCAGGGGAACGCTTTCACCATCAGCTCTGGAGGAAGGTCCATGTCATCAGTCTTCCGTTGGTCTGGGAGCTTCTCTGTGCAGGAACCTCAGGTCCAAAGGACTTGCTCTGTTCCCGGCACTGGTTTCTTGGTGGTATGTGGTTCCTATGTGTCTCTGCTCGCTTCTCTCTTTTATATCTCAAAGGAGATTGTGTTAAGACACTGATCTTGTCAACCTCATCAGTATAACCTCATCACAGTGATAGAATTTACAACACATGAGGAGATCACATATAATCTCATCATAGTGGTAGAGTTTATAATACATAAGGACATCACATCAGATAACACAATCATACAATACTAGGAATCATGACCTAGCCAAGCTGCTACACAAATTTTTGGGGGACACAATTCAATCCATGACATTCCACCCTTTGGCCCACCAAAAATCACATCCTTGCAACATGCAAAACATATTCATCTCATCATATCACAGCAAAAGTCTTAACTCCAAGTCCAAAATCCAAAAATTCCTCTTCATCTGTGAAATCTAGAATACAAGTTATCCGCTTCCAAAGGTACAATGGCAGAACAGCCCAAGCTAGACATTTCCATTACAAATGGGAGAAACTGGAGGAGAAGAAGGGATAACAGGCACCAAGCAAGTCAGGAGAACACATTACATTAGCCCTCAAGGCTTTGAAAATAATCTTCTGTTCTCTGAGACAACTTACACAATAGCCCTGCCCTCCAGACTCTAGGTATTGGCCACAGTCTCCGGATTCTGAGTGGAGGCCCCTCGCCCTGGGCTTCAGCTCCACCTTCCAGGCCCACTGGGACAGCAACTCTGCTCCCTCGGCTTCAGGCACCATTCTCCTAGTCCATTGGAATGACAGCTCCACCCTTAGAAACACCAGGGGCCATGGCTCCACCCTTTGAAACCCCAGAGATCTCAGCAGTACCTTTTGAGACTGAGACAGGTTGGCTTCTTGTGTTCCTCATCTCTTCAGCTTCTGCTTTCTGTGGCCTCTTGGCCCTCGTACCTCATGCCCGCGTCTGCCTTACTGGGGCAAGTGTTCCAAAGCTCAGTAGCTCACTGATTAAATGCCTGGAGGCACCGCACTCTGCCAGGAAGCCTCGTACACACAGGCACTCAGCTCCCTCGCTCTGTGGGTCAGCAAGTCTAACTCCACTGATAAGTGCCCAAAGGCACCCCACTCCGCCAGGAAGCCTCTGGTGCACAGGCACTCAGCTCTCTTGCTCCGTAGGTTGGCTCCAGTGCCATCTCGCACTGGTCTCCTCATTCTGCTGCTGTTGGTTTTCTGCCACTGCCCCTTCTCTGCCGCTGCAGGTTCTCTGCTGTTGCTGGTTCTCTGCCACTGCTGCTCCTCTATCCATTCACAGTTTCAAAACCGTTTCCACATTTTAGGTATCTGTTAGAGCAGCACCCCACTCCCAGTACAAAATTCTGTCTCAGTCATCTGGTGCTGCTCTAACAGAACTACCACAGGTGGATTTAGCAAAGAGAAGTTTATTCTCTCACAGTCCAGTAGGCTACAAGTCCAAATTCAGGACTTCAGCTCCAGGGGAACGCTTTCACCATCAGCTCTGGAGGAAGGTCCATGTCATCAGTCTTCCGTTGGTCTGGGAGCTTCTCTGTGCAGGAACCTCAGGTCCAAAGGACTCGCTCTGCTCCCGGCACTGCTTTCTTGGTGGTACGAGGTTCCTATGTGTCTCTGCTCGCTTCTCTCTTTTATATCTCAGAAGAGATTGCGTTAAGACACTGATCTTGTCAACCTCATCAGTATAACCTCATCACAGTGATAGAATTTACAACACATGAGAGATCACCTATAATCTCATCATAGTGGTAGAGTTTATAATACATAAGGACATCACATCAGATAACACAATCATACAATACTAGGAATCATGACCTAGCCAAGTTGCTACACACACTTTTTGGGGGACACAATTCAATCCATGACAGAGACCAAGAAGAAAGCCAGGAGGGCTGTAACCACCAAAATCAGACCAGCCCGGGGTTAGCCGAATTGACCTGGTGGCTTGAGAATCTTCTGAGGCAGGGCCCAATTTGAATTGTGGATAGCATGAGGAGTATTTGTTTTTGAATAGAGGCAGCATTCTGGGAGGCAGAGAAGGCTGGGAAGCTAGGAGTTAACCTCAGTGTGTGGGGCTGGGCTGGGCTGGGCTGGAGCTTGGGCAGTGGGATCAGGCTGTTGAACCTGCTTGGATTTTTCTCCCATTTTTTAAGCTGGAGTCCATAGACCCCTTGACTTCAGGGATCAGGCCCATGAACCCCTTGAAATTAAGATCCATATCATGAATGTATTTGCTTGCATGATCGTTTATGTGGACACAGTTCTCTGGACAGAGGGTACACAACTTTCACCAGAACTTCAGAGGTCAGTGATCCAAAAGAGGCTCCGGCCACTTGGTCTAATTAATCTTCCTCTCGTTTATCTTTCTTCATCTTTCCAGGTGGAAAGCAGCGACACGCTGAAGGACCCTGCAGTAACCTCCAAGTCACTGTCCATGGCCCAGGACTCAGGCCCCTCAGAGCTGTTACCCAATGGGGACTTGGAGAAACGGAGTGAGCCCCAGCCAGAGGAAGGGAGCCCTGCTGGGGGGCAGAAGGGCGGGGCCCCTGCGGAGGGAGAGGGTACAGCTGAGACCCCACCTGAAGCCTCCCGGGCAGTGGAGAATGGCTGCTGCACCCCCAAGGATGGCCGAGGAGCCCCTGCGGAAGAGGGTGAGTCCTTAGCACGAGGGCTAGCCTCTTTCTGGGTTCACCTGGATTCCCTCGAGGGTTGGGGCCTAGCAGGCCAGAGGAGGAGCTGGAGGGATGGGCCGGGGGTGGTAGCTGAAGGTCTGCTTACCAGGGCTCTGTTCCCTGGAGGCTACTGGCTGAATGCAGCCTGCGTACATGTTGTATTTGGCCTACATAGTGTTTTAAACATTTCAAAAATTTTAGTTGCCAGCATTTAAAAATCAAGAAATTTTGCATAAAAATCTGGAGTTTGGGCTTCTTATGAAAAAAACAAAGCCAGATCTGGCAACGGTGGGCTTGCATAACGCCAACGGTTGCTGGATTGGGGTGATGGCCATCCTCCCTTAGGCTGGGTATGCGCCTGGGTTTGCCTCAGCTTCCACCTGCCTGCTTTGTTTCACATGACCTGCAGCTTTTGAGATCATTGTGTTTGTAGCCCCTGGCCTGGGTGCTCAAGGGCAGCAGATGCCCTTGTGGGCACTAAAAGCCATCAGCCTTCCCCAGTGCAGATGTCCTGAACCTGCCATAGTTTGGTTCACTTGACGGAAATTGGGTTGTGACAACGTAGTCTGGGGAGAGGAGTGCAGTGAAGAAGCCCTTGATTTGGAGTGTTGGAGATCGAGCAAGGAGTGGGATGGGGGTGGAGGTTGTCTGTGCACTGTCCAGTCCTGGCTTCTTCATCTGGGGACTTTATGGCCCAGCCAGGAGACCTGGCAAATGTCCCACTTTTCTTTTTCAGGTTAAGCCAGCTATTTCAGGGCCAACCAAGCTGTAAACATGTTAGTAATGAGGACAACTAGCATTTGTATAGGGCTTCACAGTTTACCCAGCGCTTTCTCATACATTATCACATTTGATCCTCCCAGGGCCCTGCCAGGTTGTTTTGCATATGTGCATTTTAATTTCAAAAAGTCTTCCTTCCAAGCGTGTATGATAGAATGAGTAAATTGATTAATTGGCGGAAGTTATATTGCGTGGATCCAAATCTAATACTCATGCAGGATAGAGAGCATTCCAGCAAAGATTTCCAAACTATGAAAATAATATCTTTCATTCGTTTATTATTCAACAAATATTTATGATGCTTCCACTATGTACAAAGCACTTTCTGAGGCACTTTGCATCAGGGCTTCAAACTGGTTCTGCCTGGTTCAGTCATGGCTGACGAAGTGGAACCCGAATGGACCCGGATTTTCAAAACGTGGGTGAAGTGGAACAATAAGCAGAACGGGAAAAATTGCAAGTCAAAGAAACTTAATCTCCCTCTTAGAAAACAAGGTTAGCGTGCACGTTGCATAACAACCAAATTTCTTGACTGGCAGAGTCAAAAACAGCAGTGCCCGGCTCAAAGATGGCATCTGACCACACTGTTTTAAATGTGCTTTGCTCTTCCCAGTCCTGACTATAATCCAGTCTCCCACATCAAGCTCCTGAAAGGGCTCACCACACCTCTTCCGAGTCTTCCATTCCAGGGCTTCAATTCATAATTTTTCCTGTTCTGCTTATCGTTCCACTTCACCCAAGTTTTAAAAATTCAGGTCTGTTCCAATTTCGCTTCGTTGGCCATGACTGAATCAGTTTGAACCAGTTCAAAGCCCTGCTTTGCATCCGTTGTTTTATTTACTCCTCCAAACAATCATATTCAAGAGATATTATTATCCCCATTTGAGTGAAAAAATTGAGACTTAAGGAGATTAAGTGACCTGCTCAAGGCTTCCCAGCAACCCCCAGCTTGTAAGTGGCAGATCCAGGATTCTTGTCTTAGTCTCTGGCGTCAGATTGGGTAACCTTTCCACTATCCTCTGCTGTTCTGGAATGGGGCTCAGGACCAGGGCAGGTTCTTAAACGCTACAGGCCTCCTTGTCTCACCTTAGCGCCTCCTTGGATGTGTCCTTTGACACTTTGTGGGAGTGGTGGAAGGGCACCTGAGTGAAGTGAAATGGGGGAGAAAGGGAGAAGACACCATCCTAGATCTGCAAGAGGAAGGCCTATCCACTGGCCAGCCCTTCCCAACTGTGGTGCTCTCCATGGGGCAGGTCTCAGTTGATTTCCAGGTTCCTGGAATCCCACCATAACTGGTGCCAAGCTGCTGCCCGGGCCTCCAGGCAGTCTTTCCTGCCTTGGGGGATGGAGCCTTATCTGTAAGGCTGTTCTTAAGCCTTGAGGGGTTGAGTTTGGTTTTGGATTTCCCTGTCTCCGTTTCTAGTTCTTCCCAGGAACTCTTTCAGTTAACAGATATTTTTTAAACACCATTTAGGGCATGCCAGGATCTGTGCCAGGCAGTGGGGAAGCCATAATGAACAAAAACCTGGTTCTTGCCCTCAAGGACCTCACAGTCTTCTGGAAAGATGGGTGTTAATCAGAAATCCCACTTACGGATGTGACTGTGCACAGAGATAAGTGCTATAAGGGGAACTAGCAGGGGTCTCTGAGGAACTCTCACAAAGGAGGCTGGTTAAGCCTGGGATGTGATACCTGAGCTGAAGGATGAGCTGGAGCTCATCAGGTAGGGTGGTAGGAGAGAAGGTGTGAAGGCTCCCAGAGGGGAGGGAAGGGCATCCCCCGGGAGCCGATGGAAGCCTCTGTGGCTGGAGTGGAGAGAACAAGGGGAGCAGGTGTGAGACAAAATGGAGAGGAGACAGGGCCAGACCATGAGGGCCTTCAAGGCTGTGTTCTCAGGGGTGATGTGATCAGCTTTGTGTTTTGAAAAGATCACTTTGCCGTCTGGATCATGGAATGCAATGGAGGAGCTGGGAAGCAGGCTGACTGGTGAGGAGGCTGCTATAGGAGTCAGGGAGAGGAGGGATGCTCTGATGAGCAAGGTGGCAGTAGAGATGGAGAGGCGTGGACAAATGCAGGACACGAGGAGTAAGGGGAAGATGGTGTCAAGGATGACTCCTGGGTTTGGAACTTTCACACATTGGGTGGACCTTCCTCAGAATCTTAGTGCTGAGCATGGTGGGCAGAAATGCTCAAAGTTTCCTTGATCTCCAAACTTTGTCCTTGGAGCACTCCTGTGTGGCCCAGCTATTCAGGAAGTTGAGATGCTGGCAGGTATCAGATCTGGTGGGATCCCTGAAGGCCACTGTGAATTGCTGGATGCTGAGATGGGTGAGATGTCACCAAGAGGTGCAAGCAGCAGCCTCCTGGAGGCTCTGCCAGGGTACAGCAGGCAGTGGCTTAATCTGTGGTATGGAGGCTCGGCCACTGTTACTGCAGTCTGCTGACATCGAATGCATGCTCAGCTGGTGCCTTAAGATGAGGAAGGAGACTAAGGCCCCAGGAAGGAAGTGACTTGGCCGTGGTCTTACTTTCCCTCACTCCAGGTCTCTTTTCAAGGGGCCCCAGTGGTCTCTCCTGGATGCCTTTCATTAGTTCCTATGCAGGAAATACCGGAGGGCTTTAAGGCAGTGTGCTTGTGCCTGGGTACCCTCCTGTGTGCATGTAGGGCCCTCAGACCCTATCATACAGCTAGAAGAAAGAACCAGGAACAGGGGAGTTGATGAGATATAAGGACAAGAGCCAGCTTCCGGCCCGCGTCTGAGCAGCGCCTTGGGTCTGCTCTTGTGCTCTGAGCATTAATGCTATAGTCGTGATAATAGTAACAATGTCAATGTGGCTTTTATTTACTGAGTGTTGATTCTGTGTTGAGTGTTTACATCCTCGCTACTCAAAGTGTCGTCTGTGGATGAATTAGCATCTGCTTCACCTGGCAACTTGTTAGAGCTGTGGAATCCCAGGCCCCATCCCAAACCTGTGAATCAAAATCTGCATTTTAAAGAGATCCATGTGATTTGTTTGCATTTTAAAGTTTGGGGAGCCCTGCTCTATATGTATTCTCTTCTTTCATCCTCAGGATCCTATGAGGAAGACTCTTATTGTCCCCATTTTTCAGATGGGGACAGTGAGGGTTCAGGAAAGTTAAGTCATGTACCCAAAATTCTACAACTCGTAAAGGCCCAGATTAGGGCCAACATAAGCTCCCCTCTGCCCAGACCAAGCGTGGGCCCAGTGTTGGCTGGCCTCAGCCCTGTCATGGAGATTTGGGCTTATTTTAAAGAGAACTTGGGGTGGTCTCCAACTGAGTGTACACAGGTAAATGTTAGCAGTACACTGGCCTCACCTGCTGCCAGGACCTGAGATGCCCTAGGGTCATGTCCATGCCTGCCAGGCCGCCCTGAAAGGCACATAGCCACCTGGCCCTGCCTGTGACCCTGGGTCCGGGCCAGGAGCAGATGCACTTTAGAGGGAGTGTTGAGAGGGCAGCTGACCCTCCTTGACTCATGACAAGTGCCGCATTCAGAGGCAGCCGAGCTTGTTTTGCCTGGCCAGGCTGGAAAGTGAGTGTGTATGTGTGTGTGTGTGTGTGTGTGTGTGTGTGTTCACTCAGGTAGGCATGTGCAGAGTCAGGGAGAAAATTCCAGAAAGAAGCGAGTTAGAAACTGCATAAGGAAAAGCAATTGTGTTTGAGGGAGTGTAGGGGCTAGGGGGTGAGGGAGGGAGGAACATTAAAGAGAGCTGGCTTGCAAGTCAGGAGCCCTGAAATCACATCTTGGTTCTGGCAGTAAGTCACTCGACTCCCTGGGCGTCGGTTTCTTCATCAGCAAAATTCGGGGATGAACAAGTACAACAATTCCTTGCAGCCCTGAATTTATTTCATGAGTAAATTATTCCCCTCCCCCCATCATAAGCATAATCAAATGCTAAGGAGGGTCTCAGGAAGGAAACGTTAGAAGTCTAAAGGAGGCTGGGGGAGAGGGTCTAGATCCGCCAGGGGGATCCCCGTTTCCAGCCGCGTGTGACACAGCTGTTCTCCAAGCCTCCGATCAGGGTTGGGGGGCTCCCGCTCAGACTGCCCTGCTGGCCCACCGTGCTGCGGCCCTGCCGGAGGGCGGGCAGGAGCCCCCTTCTGGCAGCCCAAAGCCTCACACGCAGAAGGTCGAGGTCTGAGAGGAGGAGAGGAGTCCCTGCCCTGAGTGGAGGGAAGCCCCGAGCCGGCTGGGAGGGGAAACCCGGGTCTAGGGGGCCCATGCTGAGGCCCCAGAAGAAGTTGGGGCACTGGCTGTGGTGAGAGAGAGAGGACCTAAAGGAAGGACTGAGGTAGAAATGGAGAAATTAGGGGTGAGACATACCTTAAAAGGCCCGTCATGTACAAAGCATTAGCAAATACACACTCTCACCCACGTGCTCTCACCCACACACGTACCCATGACAGACGCACTCACTTCCTCCCACGCACCTACCTCAACAGCCAGCTTGTCATCACTCTGCGTACTATACCTGAGGTATGTGGTGCCATGTCCGCACATCCACAGGTGGGTCGAGCCAGTGTCCAGGGCCCTTCCTCCCCACCCGCAGTGCTCCGGGGCCTGACTGGGACTGGGTTGGCAGGGGTCGCTGTAACCCAGAACAGGGGCCACTGAGGACAGGATGCTTTCCTGGGCCTACGGACGCAGAGCACCTCAGGCCTTGGTGAGAGGGAGGGAAACACCGTCTCAGGTGGCTGAGGATTCACAGGCCTTAAATGTTGTGTCTGGTTTCCGCTTTGGAGCCATGAGATGAAGTAGGGGCTGTTTTTTCTGTTTTTGGCTCTTTATGCCCCCCTTTCCCCCACTTCCCACTCCCCAGGCTACCATGTGCCTGTCTGAGTGACCTTCCTGTTTTGGGCTCAAGCTCAAGAACTCTCTTGGCTTCAGAGAAAGGAGTCCAGGGGCCCAGGTGGAGTCAGGGCTCACTCCCCGCAACCTCAGGCAGGAAGCTAGGGAAGGTAGAATTCACTGAGCCCCACAGCCAGCAGTGGGCAGAACTGCAGACTTGGCCTGGGAAGCAAATCTGAGAGGTGAGGACCAGGTTAGGAACGCGGAGATACTCTGGAGGAGCTGGGCTTTGTGCTTGCTTGAAGCCTGGAGAGGACAGGATCCTCCTAAGGACTGCACTGCTGGGACTTCTGCCCCCAAGTGAGACTTGGCTTCCAGTAAGTGAATTCAGGCCCAGTTGAAGGGTGGCAGAGAAGTAGGGGAAGAGGAGCAGGGAAATGCTATGCTTCCCCTAGGTAAGGGGAACGAACAAAAACAACTTGTATTGAGCATCTATTATATGCCAAGTGCTGCGCTAGGTACTTCGTGTTCATAGTACCTTATAATTTCAGTGAGGAAACAGTAGGAGACACTACAGAGGTCAGATTGAGACAGTTAGAATCCAAACTCAAACCTTCTAGATTAAAGGCTGAACTCAGAGATGGGAGAATGGGGTGGGGAATGGGAGCAGGGAGATGGACATTATTAGAACCATAATATTTAGAACTGCAGGGGCCTTTCGAAAGCATCCCCAATAGCTTTATTTTCCAGAGGAGGAAACTGAGTCTCACAGAGACGAAGTTATTTCACCACAGGCTTGCTTCGGTCAGCCAGTGCCCCACCACCTCCCAACACACAGCCTTATGCCTGGGGGCTCTTTGCAACGCACAGAAGCAAACACTCCCTTCCAGAGCCGGGGAAGGCCACACAGTCTAGCTTCTCAAGTCCAGCCCTTCCTGCCCCCCCTCCACCTTCCTGCTCCCTCCACTGGGAAGGAGTCTGGTTGACCAGGAGCAGCAGAATGGGGTTATTTTTAGTCCCCTTCTGCGTACCTGAGACACAGTCAGTGTGCCGGAAACCACAGCCCTGACTTTGCTGCTGTTCCTTCATACTCGGGCCTCAAACCCTGCCCCAGTTCTTGCTCTGCTCTGGGCCTTGCTCTGAGTCTTCAGGGCCAGCACAGTGCCTGGCACGTGGTGGGCCGTCATGTTTGATACATGAACAACCAAACGGTTGGAGGACCCCTGCCCCTTAGGGCAGGGACCCCCGGCACAGGGTGGGGCCTCAGAGCCACTCCTGTAACTGCCGACAGTCCCTTTGTTCTTCCCTCTCCACAGGCAAAGAACAGAAGGAGACCAACATCGAATCCATGAAAATGGAGGCAAGTGTTTTCCTCAACCCCCAGGGGCTCTGTGGATCTTGATTCTAGAAGAAACCCACCACTCTGTGGCGAGTGTGTGAGGGGGAGCCTGAGGGTGGGCCCTCCCTGCCCGCTCTTTACACATCCCTCTATGAGAAGGAGAGGAAGTGGGTGTGGAGGTTGGAAGTCCCCAAACAAGGCAGCCAGCTGGTCCCCCTCCAGAGAAGGAGCACCTCCCCTCACATCCAGATACCCCCGCCCCCACACACCCCTCACTTCTCTAGCCCAGACAGGGGCTTGCCCAGCACTTGCAGGGTTGACATCTCTGGCCAGGAGTCAGAGTTCCTGCATTCTGTTCGAGGTGAGTGCCTCCTCAGTTTCCCCTCCAGGAGGAACAAACCCGACAGTGGAGTTGTCAGTGCCCATCTTAACACCTATCTCTGTCATCTCTCTGTCCTAGGGCTCCCGGGGCCGGCTGCGGGGTGGCTTGGGCTGGGAGTCCAGCCTCCGCCAGCGGCCCATGCCGCGGCTCACCTTCCAGGCGGGGGACCCTTACTACATCAGCAAGCGCAAACGGGACGAGTGGCTGGCACGCTGGAAAAGGGAGGTGAGGTGCCTTCTGGCCTGGGCCCCAGCCCGTCTTGCGGAACTGGAAAACCAGAAGTTAGCTTCAGCCACCCTCTAGAGCTGTTGTCTAGCTCTGGCTGAGCCTCAGTTTCCTCTTCAGGTTAACCCTTCAGACTTACAGGGAACAGTTTGATCCCTAGACAGTGACTGGTTCGTTCAACAAATGGTTAGTGAGCACTTACTGTGTACCAGGCACTGTTCTAGGCTCGGGGCATATATGGTACCTGCCCTTCTGGAGCTGACATTGTAGTGGAGGAGACACACAGAAAACAAGTAAACAGAAGTAAACAAGGGCTGAAATGGAGAATAACAGAGGACAGCTTGTCAGGAGAGGCTTCTTGGAGGAGGTGTCATTTAAGTTGAGATCTAAAGGAACAGAAGAGCTGGCTATGTGAGGCGTGGGGTGGGGAAGCTCACTCCAGGGAGAGGAGATAGCACAAGCAAGGCCCTGACATGTCTGACAAACTGAAAGACCAGTATGCAGGGGAACGTGTGAAATGAGCAAAGGAGAGAGTGGGGCCAGACGAAGCAGGAGAGGTAAGCAGGGGGCAGATCACACAGGGTCTTGCAGATCCTGGTCAAAAGGTGGTCAATTCTGAGTATACTGGGAAGCCATAGAAGGTTTCTGTGCATTTTGATATGGGAATGAGTTGATTTTCTGTGTTGATATGGAAATGACTTGATATGAATTAAGGTGGCATCAGTTGAGACAGAGAGAAGAGGACAGATTCAGATGTAATTTGGAGACAGAATCCTAGGGCTTGCTAAGGCCTGGGAGGGATTTGGGAGGGTAGGAGAAAGGAAGGACTCAAGACTCCCAGAGATCTGGCCGGAACATCTGGGTGGAGTGTTGTGCCATTGACTTGAACAGGCTTGGGAAGGATGGGGATCAAGGGTTCAGTGTGACATGCAGCAGTGCCTGTGGAGCCTCCAAGTGGAGGTGCCAAGTTGCAGTTGGATGTCAGTCCGGGTTCGGAGGAGTCCGACTGCAGATAAAAACGTGGGTGTCCTGAGCAGAACCCTGGCATGTAAATCCATGGAAACCCATGAGCTCACCTAGGAGAGAGAGAGAGAAGGGACAAAGTCCCAAGATTGAGTCCACAGAAACTCCCTGTGTAGAGGCCAGGTAGAGGGGGCGTTGCAGGCCACTGGGACTAAGAAGGCAAGCGTGAGACGGGACCTGGGAGTTAGACTATGAAGAAGGGTGTCAGGAAGGAGAGTGTTTTCTGGACAGAGTGGCTGCCCCAGCCCTGTGGAAAGCAGCATTCATGAGCCATGTCCATTGCTGGTGAGTTTACTAGGAGAAGCTTCCTGTGGGGGCCATGGGGTGGAGTGAGCCAGCCTGCGGATGGAGTAGCAAAGGGAAGTGAGGAAGTGGAGGTTGAAAGACCAACAAGTGATATCAACCCAGCAAACGTTATTTGTTGAGCTATTCTCTTGCTCTTTTGAAAATTTGATCAGTAGGGGTACAAAGAGAAGGGTACAAAGACTAGGGGGCGTTGACCTACCAGAATGGGGAAGGGGAAGGGAACTGCTATTAATTGCCACCACGTGGGGCATTTCCCAGCACCACTTATTTACCCCAGGCCTATAAAGGAAGGTGTTACCCTGTTTTATGTTGTGTGGGAGCTTGCTCTAGAGAAAGTGAAAAACAAGGTGTGGATTTGGCTACTTGATTGTTTCCAGTTCCTTCAGGATCCAGGAACTGGGACCATTCTCTCCCTCAGTTTAGTTGCTCCACCCCTCGGCCCCCTAGAACTGGGATGGTAAGGGCTTTGCTTTTTAACCACTTGTTACACATGCTCCACTCCTGCTCTCTCTTAGCCTTGGGGTCGGAAGCTTAGATGTAAGGACTTTTAGGCCTGGAAGAGCTTTTAGAAATTCCACGCTTCTCAAGCCACACTCCCTTGCAGAAGCGGTATTGAGGCCTACCCTTAGTTACCAAAAAAAGGGGTCTTTTCTCAATTCACGAGAAAAATGTAAGATAATTGATACCATTTCTCAACTTTGCGTTTTCTACTAAAACCTAAAGATTTTTATTATGACATTTTCTAACATATGCCGAAGCAGAGAGACTAGTCAAATGAACCCCCATGTACCAGTCGACAATCACACAAGCTTCTCTAGTAAATCTTAAACCTAAGACACCTGTTCCCCTACCCCTAACCAATCAAAGCACCCAATGAGTATTAACAAAAAACTAAAAAGTTAATTTAAAATATTTTCAGTATGTGTGACTTGAGATGTGAAGGCCTGGAAACAAAATACATTTTCTGTTAGTGCAGTTGTTCCTTATGTTCCTTATTCATATAATATAATTAAATATGTCCATAAAGAACTACCGATCTCATTGTCAGGCCAGGGGACTGGTACAATGGAGAGTTATGTGACTGGCCATAAACTCACAGAGCAAATGGAAAAAGGGATTGGACTAGACTTAGAATTTAGACTTCATACTCTCATGTTGGAGTGCTGGTGGTGCAGTGGTTAAAAGCTATGGCTGCTAACCAAAAGACCAGCAGTTTGAATCCACCAGCTGCTCTGTCCTTTAGGGTCCCTGTGAGTCGGAATTGACTCAACGGCAACAGGTTTGCTTATTTTTTTGGCACTCCCACGTTGAGCCACGCCATCCATACCACACTCTCTCCTCCTGGTCTGTCAGGGGGCTAGGGAGAGGTAAAACAGACAAACAAAAAAACCAAACCAGTTGCTGTGAGTCGATTCCGACTCATGGCGACCTCATGTGTATCAGAGTAGAACTCTGCTCCATAGAGTTTTCCATGGCTGATTTGTTGGAAGTTGATCACAAGGCCTTTTTTTCAAGGTACTTCTTGGTGGATTCAAACCTCCAACCAGCAGCCTAACCTGTTAACCGTTTGCACCATCCAGGGACTGCTAGGGTGGGGTTGTCGTTGTTCTTCTTCTTAGGTGCTGTCAAGTAAATTTTTGACTCATAGCAACTCCATGTGACAGAGTAGAACTGCTGCATAGGGTTTCCTAGCCTCATATGCATGCAAAAGCTGGACAGTGAATAAAGGAAGACTGAAGAATTGATGCTTTTGAATTATGGTTTTGGTGAAGAATGCTGAATGTACCATGGACTGCCAGAAGAACAAATACATCTGTCTTGGAAGAAGTACAGCTAGAATGCTCATTAGAAATAAGGATGGCGAGACTTTCTCTCACATACTTTGGACATATTATCACAAGGGACCAGTCCCTGGAGAAGGACATCATGCTTGGTAAAGTAGAGGGTCAGCGAAAAAGAGGAAGACCCTCAATGAGCGGGATTGACGCAGTGGCTGCAACAATGGGCTCAAACGTAGCAACAATTGTGAGAATGGCACAAGATTGGGCAGTGTTTCGTTCTATTGTACGTGGAGTCGCTATGAGTCAGACCCTCTTGATGGCAATTAACAACAACAACAACCTGTACAGCAGCAGGTTGCCAGGTCTTTCACTAGAAGAACTGCTGGGTGAGTTAGAACCACCAACCTTTTGGTCAGTAGCCAAGTGCTTAACCATTGCGCCATGTAGCTGCAGTAATAAAAATGTTGGGAAAACACAAGTAGCTTTCAAGATTCCCAAGTCTCCCTTAGACTAAAGAGTAATAACATCCCTATTGACTTGTTTTCTTTTTGGTTTTTATATATTTTCTTTTTTTAAAAAAAAAAAGTTATTGTGCTTTAGGTGAAAGTTTACAGAGCAAATGAGTTTCTCATTGGATAGTTTGTACATAAAGTGTTCCATGACGTTAACTGCATTCCCCACAATGTGTCAGCATTCTCCTCATTTCCACCCTGGGTTCCCTATTTCCTTTCATCCTGATTTTCTACCCCTTCCTGCCTTCTCATCTTTGCTTTTGGGCAAATGTTGTCCTTTTGATCTCGTATAATTGATTGTTCTGAGGAACACGTTTCTTTCGGATGTTATTGTTTATTTTATGGGCCTGTCTATTGTCTGGCTGGAAGGTGGTCTCTGGGAATGACTGCAGTTCCAGGTCAGAAGTGTGTCTTAGGGCCATAGTCTTGGGGGTTCCTCCATCCTCTTTCAGACCAGTAAGCTGGCCTGTTTTTTAAATGACTTAGAGCGTAAAGAAATCCATCTGCCTTTCTCAGTTCCATCTTAGTTCTATGGCATTTGACCCTTTCTTCTAAAACTAACCCTTAGGCCTCCTGTCCGTTAACTGTGCCATCCCCAGATCCTGCCCTCGACCCTCTGCCAGTCTTGGTTCACTCATCTGCTCTCAAATTCAACTACACCTCCTCCCACACAATGTCCCTCCCCTCCAGAGGAATCACCCAAGCTTCAGTGCTCAGCTCAGCTGTTTCCCAGGCAGTGTCCTCGAGGCCCAGCCAGCATGTCCTAACCTCAGAATAAGATCCCTGTTCTCCTTCTCTCACCTGGTCCCCAGCTCTGCAGCCCCTCAGGCCCTCACCATGAGCTCTGCCTCCCAGCTTTTCCATTATTTCCCCCCAAAACTTTAAAAGTTATTTCAGGGTACCATTCTTCAGCTGATTTCCCAAACCCTTCATATCCTAGCACCGTGTAAGATCCCAGGGCTTCAGGAAACCTAAAGGAATCCTCATTATCCTAAGACAGGAGGCGGGTCTGTGGCACCTGCAGGAAGAGCATCACCCTGAGCAGGAGCTTGGACAAATTTTACCAGGGCTCAGCCATGCTACAACAGGAAGTGGCTTTCAGCTTTTAAAGGATGGACTAGAATTTAGGGAAGGGGGAGGAAGAGCATTCTGGAAAAGGTTGGAGCATGTGCACAGGTTCCGAGGCACCAGAGAGCGTGGCCTTTTCAGGAGTGGAAGTTTGTTGTGGTGGAGCACACAGCAGTGGGAAGTGTGGTTGGGAAGGTAGGGCTGAGGACTGGTGGTTCTGCTGGGGAGCAGAGACCAGCTCCTGGAGCGGAGACCCTCTCCCCTTGTCCACATGCCCCCACCTGTGACCAAAGCCAGGCTCTTCTTCCCT